ACATGACTGGATGTCAGAGTACAAGAGCTAGTTTGGACAGGTACCTCCGGATCTTCGTTGTTAGAAGCAGGGATATTTCTGAAATTATCTCTGAATATATACTTTGCACTCAGTAAGAACAAATGTTCACTCTGAGCAATTAAATTATCACAATTTGAAAGAATCTGTATCAACTGCTTAGTCATTGTTATTACGTGAACATGGCATGAAATGAACGGGTAGTCCACAAACTTCATTTTCAGTTGTATAGCGCACAAATCAAACTGCAAGGCAATTTCTAGGCGCTAAAAGATAGAGTGATCTGAAGAAAGGATTAAAGTTCATAAGCTTGTTTAAAAAGGAAAGTTTTCAGTTGGGACTGGAAAGATTCCACGGACGCGGCTTGTCGGATGTGAAGAGGCAGTGAGTTCCAGAAAAGGGGAGCTGTGTAAGAGAACTGTCTATGTCCATATGACTTTAATCTGACCTTGGGGACATTCAACTGACAATTAGAACTTGATCTTAAAAGCCGTGGTGGGACATATTCACTGAGGAGATCTTTCAGATAGATTGAGCTTTGTCATGGAGGCACTTGAAAGCGAGAGTGAGGATTTTATATTCTATTCTCTGTTTCGTGGGCAGCCAATGTAAGCGTATCAGCAATGGTGTAATGTGACTGCGCTTGTTGACTCGGCAAATCAATCGCGCCGCAGAGTTCTGAATCCTCTGGAGCTTGGACAATAGATCTTGGCGGATATTTACAAGAAGACTGCAGCAATAATCCAAACGTGAGAGAACAAGTGAACGAACTAGGTGGTGAGCTGCATCAAATGTCAGAATATCACGAATGGAAGCAATATTTCTGAGATGAAAATAGCATGACTTACAAACAGAGTTTACGTGTGTTTCCATGGATAAATTTGAGTCTAGAAAACACCAAGGTCTTTCACGGAATCACTGAAAGGAACTTTCTCATTACCCACTACCAACGAAGACACATCCACCTTAGCAGTGCTACTGGGTGATCCACACAGCAAAACCTCGGTCTTACTGTCATTTAATCTCAGCTTCCTTTGTATCATCCATGCTTTGGAGTCAAGGATACAGTCTTCGATTATAGACATATCGGCTGGAAGTGAGTCCGGTTTAGTGGAACGCAACAGCTGGGTGTCATCAGCATATGACTCGTACATCACAACATGATGCCGAATGATATTGCCGAGATTCTTCATATAGAGTGAAAAGAGAATGGGCCCAAGAACGGAACCTTGTGGCACTCCGTATGTAAGCTGATGCGTACACGATTTCACGTCTTGAATGACCACAGATTGTGTCCTATTATTGAGGTATGAGACAAACCATCCAAGAGCTGTGCCATGAATACCAAATTCTGTTTTCAGACACTCAGTTAGTTGAACATGGTCAATGGTATCAAAAGCCGCTGATAAATCAAGCAGCGTTAGAACTGTAACATAGCCCGCATCAGCTGCAGCAAGAAGTCTCTCCATCACATGCAGAAGTACGGTCTCTGTGGAATGATCGGAGCGATATGCAGACTGATGCACGTCATAGAGATCATTCAAGGTCAAGTGATCAACAAGGCGTACCTTGATTGCCTTCTCAAGCAATTTTGATATGAAGGATAAATTAGAGACAGGCCTATAGTTCGATAGTGTGTCAGCGTCTAAGCCAGGCTTTTTCAGGAGTGGCTTAACAACAGCGACCTTCAGACACTTGGGGACACATCCGGAAGATAAACTGCTGTTTATTATCCGTGTGATCACTGGAAGCAAAACATCAATGAACTCAAGAACAAATCGTGTTGGTGCTGGATCCAACATACAAAATGTTGGTCTTGCTGATGTTAAAAGCTTTAGGACCTCTGCTTCTGAAAATGGTGCAAAAGCACTGATGAAGTGTACTTGACCCAATGGCGTTGGTTCATGATGCGTTACAGGTATATCCAATGAATCAAGTTCATTTCGAATCTTGCAGATTTTGTCAACAAAAAAAGCTATTGAAGTTATCCACAAGTTCCCCCAGATCAGACGTCTGTGGGAGAGCAGAATCCTTAGCCTTGCCAACTAAGCGGTTTAGGAGCTGATACATCTCTCTGCTGGATCTTACTGACTGTAGAGCTGATAGAGTGTATGCAGACTTTGCCCTCCGTACTGCCCTAGTTACACAGTTTCTAGCGGCAGTGAACATTTGACGATACACTTCTAAACCCGACTGTCTCCATCTCCGTTCTATGACACGACGCTCTCTTTTTAAAGAAGCGATCTCTTCATTAAACCATGGTAACGACGAACGGTCGGGAATATTCTTCTCTTTAAAGGGTGCATGCCTATCAAGGAGATGGGATAGGGTGTCATTATACAATTCACATAAAGTTTCCGGATCATCAGTTTGGCTCGTGAAAAGTAGTGAGTTTAGTAAATCTGATCTAAAGTCCTCCCTATCAATTTTCTTAATATTGCGAGATTTGACAGTTTTAACAGACTTTGGCGGTTTCACTAAAGATAGGATACAGGTGATAACGTGGTGATCAGACATCTGGGAGTCCAACACAGATACATCATCCAAGATATCCCGGTCCTGTCGAGTAACAACCCAGTCAAGGGTATGTCCTGATCTATGGGTAGAAGAAGCCACATTCTGCACAAGCTCATGAGATTCCAGGAGCTTAATCCACTTTTTCGTGACGGCATCCTGTGGATTATCCCAATGAATGTTGAAATCTCCCAGAACTAATATGTTTTTCTGTGTGAGATTTGACAGAAGCAATGAGAAATCTTCAATGAAATCCTGTTGAGTAGAACCATTACGTTTGGATACAGGTGGACGATAGATGCACACACATCTCACATGAACGTTCCCATTGTACTGCACAAAGCTCAGCTGTTCGAAGCTTTTATAAGATATCTTATTGAAGCACAGTTTGAGGTTCAAATGCTCCTTAAATATCACAGCCACACCCCCACCCCTGCCAGAGAGACGTGGTTCGTGACGAAACGAATATGCCGGTGGCGTCATATCAGCAATGATGGCATCATCACCTTGTGAGTGCAGCCAAGTTTCCGTAATAAGGAATACATCAACATCATTGTCCATGATATAGTCAACAACTTCTGCTGTTTTGTTTCTAGCAGACTGTGCATTCCACAGACATACTTTGATATATCGACCTTTAATGTGATCTGACTTAACTTCGTTATTCATTGGAGTGGAGAATGGTCTGCGTGGTTTATCATCGCTACGGTGTTTACGATTTCGTAGGCCCCTCCTAGTCCGTTTCTTAGAACATATACCAAAAGATCGAAGTTGCATAAAAGTGTTCGTAGGGATAAGATTGTCTTTGCTATTAAGTAACAACAGCTCGCTAGTTGAGTAGGTCCTCATTGTCACTGAGAGCAAGCTAATTGGCTGTCTATTGTCCGTCTCTGGCCATGGGTCTATACTCGTTACACCCCAAGCTGATGTTAGCTTGTCACTGAATGTGCTATATTGCAAATATAGCAATATGAACATCACAAAGTCCTCCAAATATCTCATCTTCCTTGTGGAATCATTTCAGAGAAATCACAGATATGTATCCAGGAAGTATGTGGTATCCAGTTTGCTAAAAATCAGCAAAGTTCAGACTGCAGTAGTATGATAAATAGGCAAAAACCAGGAGAGCTTTTCAAGCGTGCTGCCTCTCGACGCACAGCATGGCGCCAATGCGGCGGGGCATACTACTGATCAAAGAAGTTAGAAAGTTGTGGTCCATGCTGTCCCAATATCGGACCACCTCTTCTTTCATTTCAGCAATATTTGTCAGATTTTTCTTATTGACACTTTCCTTCATAGGTCCCCAAAAATTTTCTATTGGATTTAGGTCAGGGCTGTAGCTTGGCCAATCTAATAATGTCAGATTTTGGGTCCGAAACCAGGCCTGTGAATGCTTTCAACGATGTTTTGGGTCGTTGTCCTGCTGGAAAATCCAAAAATTTCCATAGAACACGTGAGCAGATGGAAGTAAATGTCCCTCGAGGTTATCTGTGTACCGCTCACTGTTGATATTCCCTTCAAATACACAGAGGGGCGTTGCCCCTAACACAGATATGCCACCCCACACGTTATGCTGTAAGCTCCAGTTCGACCTTCGCTCCTTTTGTTCAGGTTTCATGATCGGTGATGGAATTCCTCGATTTTCTGCCAACCCATTGCATGCAGCTCAACTCCTTCGTTTGTTTTTAGAAACAAGAATACCAAGCCACCTCCTGTCACCGACAGTCAAGTTGTCTGCCAGGAGTGCCACTGCAGTTGTTCATTTCATTACAACTAAGTTCAAACATCTGTAGAAGTGACAAAATTAAGAAATTGGATGAACAAGGTATGAGATGCACACCTTTAGAGTCCCAATGAAACACACGTAGAAGCTAATCAATTCTGTTGACCAGCTTTTGTGGAGATTGTGGATAGACTTCATCCCCATAAACACTATATTCAGAGAGAAATTCAACCAAATTTATGTAATTTAAACGGCATTAAAATTGTTGATATTCCCTTCAAATACACAGAGCGGCGTTGCCCCTAACACAGATATGCCACCCCACACGTTATGCTGTAGGCTCCAGTTCAACCTTCGCTCCTTTTGTTCAGGTTTCATGATCGGTGATGGAATTCCTCGATTTTCTGCCAACCCATTGCATGCAGCTCAGCTCTAATTGTCTCCTTACAGACAGCCACAGTTCCTCTGTCAATCATATCCATCCTCAAGTTTTCAACTCCTTCGTTTGTTTTTAGAAACAAGAATACCAAGCCACCTCCTGTCACCGACAGTCAAGTTGTCTGCCAGGAGTGCCACTGCAGCTGTTCATTTCATTACCACAAAAAATGACACATACATGGATTAAATATCACATCTTTAATAATCAGGGAAAAATCAAGAGAGAAAACAAAAAAGAAGCTCATGTACATTTCTTCATTTCAGACAAAGTCTCGAAAATTGTATACATGAATGGAACCATAAATAGCACATTCAGATTCCCACTGAACTACTTGAAAACACTAAACACAATGTGTTGAGGGGTTAGATAACACAACCTATTATCATATAAAGATCAATAATTGAACAAAATTCACGAACAAGTTCAATAAATATCTATGCAACTATGAGATGCACATCTTTCGAGTCCCAGTGAAACACATGTGTAAGCTTAATCAATTCTTTTGAGCAGTTTTTGTGGAGAAGTGGATAGACTTAATCCCCTATTTCACTATCATCAGTGAGAAATTCAACAAACTTTATCTAAGTTCAAATGTCTCTAGACATACAAAAAACTATAAAATAGAAACACAAAAATATGAGTTGCACACCTTTAGAGTCTCAATTAAAGACATATGTAAGCTAAATGAGTTTTGTGCAGTGGCTTTTAAGGAGAAGTGGATAAAGTACACCCCCTGTTGTATGGGACGAACAGGATGAATAGAACCAAATTCAACTAAGTTCAAACATCTGTAGAAGTGACAAAATTAAGAAATTGGATGAACAAGGTATGAGATGCACACCTTTAGAGTCCCAATGAAACACACGTAGAAGCTAATCAATTCTGTTGACCAGCTTTTGTGGAGATTGTGGATAGACTTCATCCCCATAAACACTATATTCAGAGAGAAATTCAACCAAATTTATGTAATTTAAACGGCATTAAAATTGGAAAAATGAATAAAATACAATATCAAAATATGAGATGCACGCCTTTAGAGTCCCTATAAAGCAAATGTGTAATCTAAATGAATTCCATAAAGTAGGTTTTGATGAGAAGTGGATAACGTGCACCCCCCTGTTGGATGGAACGAACGGGCTGAATAGAACAAATTTCAACTAAGTTAAAAGATCTGTAAAAGTGACAAAATTAAGAAATTGCATAAAAAGTTATGAACTGCACACCTTTACGAGCCCCCACGAAAGACATGTAGAAGTTCATTCAATTCAGCTGAGCAGTTTTGTGGAGAAGTGGATAGACTTCATCCCCTATTACACTATCATCATAGAGAAATTCAGCAACATGTACACTATTAGAGTCCCAAGAAAGCCCATGTATAAGTTCATTGAATTCCACAGAGCGTGTTTGTGGCGAAGTGGATAGAGTACATTCCCTGTTTCGTACGGACGGACACCCTATATGCCCCCAGCCATATATGGCGGGGGCATAAAAAGTAATATCTAGTGTGAAGATGTGCTGGAATGTCCAGCAGTGATCATAAAGGAGTTTCAACATGCTGTTACGGCAAGCTCATGATTAGGGCAAGAAACACGAGTTTAATTATCGAGATATTTTGCTAACCGGAATATATAGCCCTTTTGCGTAGACTGCACGTGGCAACGTTTGAACTTTGTGCCAGTACCGATAACTGGAACACCCTTGAGACTTTTCATTATGTCCGGGTTGAAGCAAAAGCTAGCTTTCTAAGGAAAGCTATTATATCTTTCTTTCATTTCGGTACTGCTAATTATTCCCACTGCAATTCACAGATCGTTGCTACCATGGACTGATGGTATCAGAAGAGCACTGGAAGTGCTTAGATATGGCAAAGTTGATAGAACAGCCTCCTTACGATTTAGTTCTGTATCGTTTACGTCCCACATGGCTGAAGATAATGTCTGCCTAATCCATAAGATCACAGGGAGTACTCAGATACGGCAAAGGTCATTGAAGTAGTTCCTTACGATGAAGTTCTTAATCGTTTGCATCCTATACAACTGGTAGAAATGTATATAATTACTAACTTCATATTATCCAGGAATTTCTTTTGCAAGAAACTCAACTCCTCCATGACATCTCTGTTGTAGCGACACTTTGGACTTTGAACGGAACAAACAGTGCTGAAAAAGGAGGTAATGCCGCTGATGAGCATTTGATGGTGTGCACAATACAGTCCAGTTTTCACCATCAGTTGTGTCGAGATCCGCGTTCGTAGATGGAATATCAGATTCGTCCGCATTGTGGACAGGAGTATTCCCTTTTTAATACAATATCCGTTCTACGTGTTATACCTTCACGCACAGTGTGATTTGTAGGTGCAAATGTGGTATTTCCGTTTTAAAAGGTCGTGGGGGCTTTGTGTCGACCTTGAAGGAGCGGTGTGAGATCCAACAGGCACCTTACAGTTACCACCAGAATGTACTCTCCATGTTACTGCGAATATTGATTACTGTTTGTCTGGAACACCTTTAACATTTAACACAAATAACGAGGAAGATATCTTATCCAGGCATGGGAGTGACTGTTTTAGTTCACGGGAATCTTTTCATCTGGCGGATATTTCATTGATCCTGTCTGATTGGGCGAACAAAGCGGACACCAGATGTGTACTCAATATAGCTTAACATTTGCTTAATACTCCCACCATTCGTTTTCATCTTGTTTATAAGGAGTTCACTGGTTTTTTTGTTACTCATGTATGAGAAAAAATAATGAACTGAATATAGACTGCAAGGTAATTAATAAGGCACTATTTGAATATCGTGAGAATAAACATTGGTGTATACTTATACACAATTCATTCGAGAACGTGGGTATATGTAACGAATGTTATATTTGGCATAACTGCTTTGTACGTTTTGGTTGGATTATATATAGTTCCAATGACCTTTGATGATATGAAAGTATCAACCAAAATCTATTTTGGTTTGGTATTCTGCTCTTAACGCCACAGTCACCAAGTGACAGCTTAATGGCGTCGGCCTGTAAATAGCCAAATCTGAACCTGCCAAATCTTATATATAGAGGACATATCTAATATGAAACTAAATATGGTATGTAATCTGACCATGTGGTTTAGCATGACTACCGAAGAAAGCGTTGATATTCTAGGCACACATTGCTGACAATAATGAAAGATATCATTGTGTATGTCTTGTTCATAACCACGTTCTTGTACAAATGTACCACGAACTCACGAATGTCAAAATACGCCACTCGGACTCTTCTCTTCGGTCGATCCAAGTCACAGCTACTGTGACATTTTAATGAAGGAAAGAACACACAGGCTCTCATTATGGTGTCTGAGAACACACGTTATCAAGACCGTGTGAAAACATTTTCCCTTCTTTGAGCACATGATACAGTTTTACACGTATATTCTATTCAAGATGAACACGAATTGTTTCAGGACAAGCACTTATTTCGAGGCTACGTATGATGATTCACAGACATGTTCGACATTCGTACACGCTTATGACAGTTATCCCCACAACCGGGCATATCCAAAAATGAGTGTTTACTTTCTTAGAAATACCGAATATGTAAATGAGAACTCTGACATTTAAACCTTCTAAAGCACACCTGGTTGATGCATGAATGATTGGCAATCGTTTCTATGTTGGTCATGAAATAATAAGCACCCTCGTTTATATACATTGAATACCCTTTTCACAACACAGATACCATTTATCAAATTCCAAAAGTCACTACTGAAACTTCTGCATTGAGGTTACCGTGACCCAAATATCACTCCGCGCACAACACGTGTATATGTGAGATCGCATTCATCCGCCTGACGTCATCAATTAAGTGGCGGGTTCTGATCACGAAAGGACCAAAACGGAATAATATTTGACAAAAACGACGTCCCAATTATAGATCTTGTTAAATTGGGAATGCCAAGTGCTTAAATAGTGTATATATTAAGATGTTTACAGAAGGATACTAGTTCTGTTTTTCCTCAGATTGCGAAGTCAGTGGAACATATTATATAATTCCTGATACATTGACCAGGGTGAACAAACATTTCATCATGACATATTTTTAGGTCAAATAGATGTAATGGCAATTTCATTAGGTATCGCTCTTATCTAATCGCCCGGAAAAAAAGTTGCCAAAGAAAGGGATTCATTATATATTCAGTGTTAACATATATCGGGGAAACAATTGAATAATAGTACTTTGTTTGCTTTTCAGGTAGAAGAAATGAGCAGAGGTTTGGTGACTTCAATGGAGCTTTGATTTATGAGTTAAGAAAACCGATCTTCAGGCACCGTTTCAGCGCTGTTGTCATGGAAATTCAAACTGAATTATAATGTTAAACCTTAACACACAAATGTGTTTTTATTCAAAAGAATTATTGCACAAGGCTGTAACGTCGGAGATGCGTTTGTCTGAAAGAGATCAAAGAGGAACAGGGTATTAACGGAAATGAATTAGCATATGGTGGTCAGGGCATTATTTCAATCACGGCTACATTAAAACCGTGTCTGACATTAGACTGTATGACTGCAGGACACCTGCTTATTGAATGAAAGAGCTAGTGGATGACATCTTGAAGATCTTGACGTATATGAGACAGATTTTATGGGTCTATTAAAGTTGACTTTATGATATCAGCTGTCTAATACGCCACAGTAACTCAAATGGGGCGACGGCCTCTTGGGAAATCAGTAAAACCTGGTTCGATGACTTGTTCTCCTTCATCTAAAACAAACATCAATCTCAAAGCTACAAAATCAGATACAGATAAATATAACTATTGTATGAACGTGAATATGATCTACAAAACAGCACTTATGCAAAGAGCATCCCTTAGGCTGAAAAACATTTCAAATAGCTGGGCAATTTATTTTATATCTAACGTTAGTATTTCCAACAAGCCATCAGACTCACTGGTATTGTCACTGTAAGATTAATATCAATCAAGTAGACGTATGTAAAATGCGTATGGGTTGCAATAACAACACTCATGAATCTACCTGTACAAAGATATTTGAGTGGAAACGTTTCTGCATAATTATTCTGTCTCGGTGTTCCCTTAAACCACGTACAGCATTGTAGAATATTTCTACACTAACGTACTACAGTACAACTTTACAAAACAAACACACGTGCAAATTAGATCAAGAACAATGAACACTTTTAAACATTACACAACCTAAATACACTTTTCAATGAGACTTGCAATGAGTCATGTGAGATGAGGTGAGGTGAAATTAGGTTTAACGTCGCGCTCATATGACAACGTGCATGCGTGTGTATGTGGGGCTGCTTGTACTAGCCCAGACTTAAGCTGGTTTTATAGTGCTAGCTCACTGAGGTACCATGCCGCAGTGAAGCATGAATACCCCACCCAGACACATTATACTGACTCCAAGCCGACCAGTCCTTGTACCCATTAATGCCGAGCGCCAGGCAGGGACCAACAAGTACCATATTTTAACGTCTTTTGGTATGACGCGGTCGGGGATCGAACCCGCGACCTTCCGCTCTCCGGGCGGACGCTCTAACCATTACACCACGGAGTCGGTCGCAATGAGTCATGTACTTGTATGAAATAATGAATCATGGTAAGTATATATAAGGTCTGATATAACTTTAAGATTGTTAATCGTGGAAACTGGTAACGAACCAGAACCGTCAGAACCTGGTTAATTTTAAAAGAAAACGTATAACTTTCTCATGAAAAACATTCAGTTCCTAGTACACAAAACTGTAAACCTAACATGTTTTGTTCTGAAACTATTTAAACGAAACACTTCAATTCTTAATCGCAATAACAAATACGATGTCTGCGAAAACGGCTCCTTTGACAGTTACCATATATATTTGTATGTAGTACTTGGATGCATGAATGTACGACATCCTTTTCACTCTAAAGAACTGTAAATCGTGAACCGATCGCAGTGGATTCGTGTGGATTCCTGGTTGGAATATTTGGTCCCCAGCAACACATACATGACGTGGTATATTATAGTGTTCATAAGAAGTGACTAAATCGATAGGCTGACTTGGTTGATTGCGTGCTATTGAAAGCCGGTGGCGTTGGCCATAATATGAATTTACTGGCTTGTCTTGTCCACACATGAATATAAGGTTTATCTGTGACACTGTTCTGCGTGTGTGTGCGTACGCGATGGGGCGTGATGTCAGGTTATGCCGTTTTGGTGCAATAAAATCTTAGCATCACCTGCCCCCTGTACATCGTGGTTCCAATTCTTACACGGGCCAGCCGGCTCCAATCAATACCAATTTGGAAAGTCTCAAGCCCTGTTTAACGCTTATTGACGAACAAGCACATGTGGAATTGATTCTGGGTCCATTTAATGCATGGTGCCAACAAAACACTGCTAAGTCTTCCAATAATAGTCACAGTACATCATCAAACTGTGATTTCAGTCTCACATGGACACTGGTGTAAATAAAATATTCGGAAATGTTATTGAGTGAGGGGTATAAGCAAATATGAAGAATCACTTCATAGCACTGACACTGAAATACAATTAACATATTCGTGGCAGTATAAAATGTCTTTAACAAAATTAATGTATCTGTACACATAAAATATAATACATATTACTGTATATAATACTTATTATAATCAACTCTGATCAGCAACTGCCAAAGGATTTTTTCATGACTAAACAAAACGGAAACTGACCATCTTAAAAAAATAGAAAACAATACTTGAAAAAATTTCAGTTTTAAAAAACAGTGGGATTAGAAATAGAGTTCAAATTAACGTCTGTAGAAACAAGACGTTGAAGCTTATAGCTTTCTGACACTTCAGTCTGGTCAATTTGACCAGAACAAATTATTATTTCCAAAGGAACATCAAAGGGTCGGTCTAACCATTAGAGGTTATGGGGATTTATGGCTGCCGTAAATCATCACCCACTTGTGGACGTGATCACAGGGGCGTCTCACGCTTAGAAACAGCGTTAGAAAGACATACAGGTATATAGACCCTACCCTAGTATTATATAAAAGGAAAGGGATGTAACGACGGAACCACCCCCTCCTCAATCTAAGTTGGATTTCACCACGTAAACTATTTTTAAGGCCCCGTCGAGGCCTACGGATCAAAAGCGAGATGATTTCCCTACAAAATGAGCTATAAATGGTCACAATCGGATCTTTATTTCATAAGTTATACGCCACGACTCACCGAAAACAGCTACCTCCGCAATTCCAAGCCAAAATCATGGATCACCCAAGACAGCGAAAACTCACCTTTTTAATTCGTTTATTAATTCCAGCCATGTTGACAGCACCTATGTAGGGCTAGATTCGATCGGCAGCGGCATTCCACGGGTCTGAAAACTTATTGCAACATCTACAAATCATTTCCTCGACAGTAAGCAGACATTTCTCCAAAACCATCGGCAATCATACTGACTTGTCGGCCATAGATGGCTTTGACATTCAAGTGAACTGAGCAGATTCGCAGAATCGAAATTGGGCCATCCGATTGGTGGAAAATATAATATACTGTAAGATTTTGACTGTTTCCTAATGGGCGCGAAATATAAACTTTGCAATAATCCTATATTTTGGATGGTGTACGGAAAAGTAAATTGTTAAGAATAGTTTTAGAGGTTGTAAAAATGCATTCGATATTGATTAATTTTTAGGAAATTATATTTATAAATATTTAACCTCTAAAATATTCGCACAAATTTACTGCTCAGGTCACTTGAATGTCAAGGCCATCTATGGCCGACAAGTGAGTATGATTGTGGCAGTGTAGTATTTTATATTACAGTGTTATATTTTATGTTAGTTGGTACTGCTAGTTGAAGATGTACCTGTTTTTATGTACACAATACACACCTGTAAATATTGGTTATTTTAACATACTTAGAATACTTACAATACAACTGAAGCATACGCCAGCAAAGCATATCAATCAATGCATGAACACCAACCTTACAATAGCCAAAGCCCTGACCTGCCTCAGTCTTTTGTCTTGCTTATGTAATCAACACACAGTTTAAACTCAGTGGTTTAAACTTTAGTTACTTTCAAGCATTCGAGCAGTAAGCAGCCCCACACTACAGTAAAGGTTTTAAAAGGTATCTGGATACCAGCTCACCTCTGTATATTTCCACGGTTAGTACTTTATCTGTACTGTTGTATATTGTGTTTTAATGTGAGTATATCTGTTCTATATGACATGCATATATCTGTTTTATATACATGGAAGTATATAGGTAAAGCAGAAATGGTATAGTCTACTTAATGTATACATATGCATATATAACTAATGTAGGGAAGTTATATCATGACGGGTTTAATAGTCATGCAAGCACATTTAATGTAACTATTGTATTAACGTAAACCCATGCATATTATGTAGTGTGAAACAATGTAATCACGTCATGTTGGTATGTACGTGTATGTGGATTTATATATATATATATATATATGGGCAGGTGTATGTGCATATGCATGTACGTAAGTGTGCATGATATGAAGTAGGTATGATACAATGTACTAGGTACTATTGTAGTTAGCGTGTAATGACATGCATTAGCCATGTGTGGTGTGTATTGACTTGTATGTAGATAATATTGTGGTACTATGTATGTTTATTTACTACAGATCCTTACAGGACTGTATGGTATGAGGGACTGCTGGATCTGGCAAACCTAGGTCCACACACCTGGTAGGTGTTGCATATCTTATGTTATTTTATCTCCCATATTAGTGTATCTATAATCAGCAGTCATCCCATCCGGATGACTATCCTAGAAATCATTCCAGATGTATTATATACATCCATGGTATTATTTATATGCGGTGATTTGTATTGATTAGAGTTGACCTGTATTGTATGTTGTAAACATTGCAGCATGCACTTGATACAATACCTATGATGTGCCACGTGTCTAAGTCTTGATGTATATAGTGTATGACACGATACCTGAGTAGGTTTACATTGTTCACCAATTGTTTCAGGGTTTATGTATAAGGAGGATATGATGGATTCGTCCCAGTGTAATAAAGATGCCGTCAACTCACACCCCGTAGCCTTGTGGATTTCATTACGGAAGAACCCCAAATTCCATGCTACTACACGTAGCTCTTCCACTTGGTTCTTCATACGTCAACCACTGACCACTCTGACTGTATAGATAACTGGAGCCCGTTGAGATACAGTAAACCAACGCTTCAGTAAGCTCAAGCTCCGTTGGACAGCGAATATTTCTTTCTTCTTTAATTTCAATACACATACTTATTCCCAATGAAATCCTCAAAAAGTTGATGTCATGTACTGCTGATATAATAGACCACTGGAAGCACTTAGATACGGCACATTAGGTTCAAGTGGCTTCTTAGGAAGCAGCTTTCGATATCTCATATCAGTTACGTCCTAAATGGTTGGTGATAATACTTGCCCAAATCCATGCGATGGCCTTGGATACTCTTGCAATTATCATTCACATTAACACTTCCTCGACATTTCTTTTAGTGTTCTGTGAAAGTGGCATTTGGGACTTTCAACTCTATAAGACAATGAACAGGGTGGCATGTGCTGTTAAATGGCAATTGCCTGAGGTTTGTACTAGAGTTTTACTGTTGCATTGCACTATACAGTGTTTTCAGGCGTAGTAACTCTGTGAAAAGTTGGCTTCCTCACTTGTGCCGGGATCCGACTCGTGGGTTAGATGACCAGGTTCGTATTGCGATCAGGTGTTATGATTTTTCAACACGATAACCATTCTCTCGAAAGCGTAATCTAAGATTTGCATCGTAATGGGCACTATTCCTATATTGTAATCAGCCGTGATACTGCAATGTAGATGTTCAATATATACTACTCACACTTTGATAAGGATCACAAAAATTCACAACTTTACTTAAACGTAGATTCATAATTTGAAATTGTATCCATTTAAAACTGGATAAATAATAATATGGTAACCCCTCTTTAGACAAACAGTCACTTTAATCTAACCTTATGCACTTGATACAAGAGTAACCATTAAAATGGTTTTCACGGCACCAATCAACCATTTTGCAAATCATGGAACGAGTCATTGACAAGTACACAACACCTGTCAATAGCAGGTATGGGATCCACAAGATGAAATGACATACTGAAACCTAGGATCCATGCTTACAATAGGCTTAGATATTTAAATCGAATTTGACCCCACGTTATAGTTTTCAGTTGGATCCATGATTTGATCCTTAGCAAAGTGTGAGTAGTATACATTTTCCGTGAGTACACAAAGCGTGAGTGAGTAAATATTGTCATGCTACAATATTAAATTAGAATGATTAAATCAGTAATTTCGAGAGTTTTTGCAACTACATTCGCATTACATCATTTTGAGGGATTTTGCGCATTCCCCGTGCAATACTATGCACCCAACAACACAACGTAGAACCTTAAACACGGATCCTTTAATCATGTTCAAATGCCTGAAAATGTTGTCGTGACAAATGAAGCGTATGTGCTCTTTGAAATGAACACAAACAACAGTATAATTTCATGTACCGTTTGACCTGTAGGGGGTAACGTGTCATTCTCAGTTTAGGTGAAGACTATGTGAGCTTCGTGCAAACCAAGAAGACAGATGTTTGATCCAGCAAAACACATTGTTGCAAATTCACCCATTGCCAACATCAATTCGTTGCGTAAAACACATATAACGTATGATGTGTGAGTAGTTGTGTTCATGTTGTTTTTCTGTATTGATCCTGGAACTCTATGAAATCACTCATAGAAGAATTCCACGCAAGAAGAAGGTTAATTTAGTGCACAGGAATCTCTTTATCCAACTGACAATCCATTGGTTCCGTGTGAATAGGGGCAACAAACTGAACACCTGACGTGTACGATTTATAGGTTACTATTTACTGTAAAGAACTAGTGTTTGGCTCTTGCCCCAAGGATTTCAGATTAGCATAGCTTATTCCTCTGGGTCAGAAGGTTGAACAGGCTGAACATCATATACATTTATTCAATATGCTTTTCAGGAAGTGGTGAAATATAACAAAATTTCACTACATTCTCACAGTGATAACGAAACGTTTCTGTCAAAGTACTAGAATTTGTACTTTAGTTCGAAAGTGTTATCCAAAATATAACATTGTTACATCATGTATTTGGTACATGTAGGAATTTATTAACAATATGCAGGCAGTTTGGCAGTCAGCTTCGATGATACGATGTGTTTTGGTTCTGTATTTTGCTTATCAACACCACATTCAGTAAGTGACAGTTGTATTGCGGCGATCTGTATATAACTAAGTCTGGACCAGTCAAACCTGATCTATTTTGGACCAAGTCCCACGCCGAAGGGGAAACTGTCACGAAATGAATCAAGTCACTAAAACTGACCCTCTGATTCATTTAGTCGCGTCTATATTCCAATCCGGAATCCCTGCATGGCACATATTGACTAACCATTTATAAATTACTTGCCTTGCTAGGTTAAATTGGAAATGTTGCTGATGCTCTTTAGTTTCTTCGTGTATTGAATGTATTCCAATTGATGTGTGTGATCCTATGCTACATCCACATTACGTGTCTCAAAATACATGACTTGCCTATGGTACATCCACATTGAGTGGTTAAAAATATATGGTGTACCCATGGTACATCCATATTACATTGAACTGATACATGTAGAAAAAGAATTAGTTAGTGGGGTTTAACGCAGCAGCTAAAATACCTCATGATAACGGGTGGACTATTATAATCAACGATATTTTAAGAATGAATATGATGTCTTGTGCTACTGTTGCAACTACTAAAAGCAAAACCCAAACACACAAAAGGAACCTAAACAATACAGAAAAGAAACTCACATTTATTCAAGAGCATGTTCTGCCCGGTAAACACAATGGTTGACCTGTATGATTAGGAATGAAACATACAATCTTATGGATGACTTTTTGTTTATCGCATCTAGCGACGTTTCGATGCAGATTCTACACTGTTATCAAGCTAATACGTTAATACAACCAAGTGATGAGAAGTATTCATACATAGTATGTTATCACAAACAGCAGATTAACTTTAACAACAACATGTAACTGAATAACACTATATGTACTTCTCATCACTTGGTTATAGTCACGTTGTCCAACTGCCTAGTATTACCCCTACCAGCCAAGACAATAGCGAATGAAAAGAACGCCTTCGGTTACTCAAAAGACAGGGTTTTTCCGTGAGATCAAGAGCAATAGTCTCTAAACTTTGGTATCGTCATGGACTGGTGTTACTTGTACTCAGCTATAGTCTGCTATCACTGACCTGACGTTTTACTCTTATCCATATAGTGTTGGGAGGAATCACCTATGATGTTACTCTAATGAGATATGCCGTGCCATGTATTTCTGTACATATCGACTTATAAGCAGCGTCAATTGCTGTCCGATCTAAACGATATATCCCGGTAAGTGGGGTTTTTGTCACAAAAAATGTTATTATTGAAGGTATTTATTGTGATTCGTGTAACTGATCAATTACCTTCAAGTGTTTGCTGAAACCAGCGTGTCTGAGATTATCCATTTGTTAGAAGTGTACAGCTGAAGAACAACCTACTGACGGGATGATGCATGCTCGCCACAGGAAAATCCACCTCCTCGGTTAAAGTGATGTTTGCCTTAAACGCCTTGTCATATGCAAATCGTTTTCAAATAGACAAGACAGTCCGTACAATTTTCTCTTCATTTGTCCACCAAAGCCCCAAACAATTAGGCCAACCTCAAAAAACACAAACACATATCCTATTATCCAGCCCCCTTTATACGGAGTTAAACAGTATTATCTCCGCTGTATTGTAACTATCAAAAGTAGGGCTGCGCAATATAACCGGTTTACCGGTATTAACCGGTTCAAACATGAAAACGATACGTATTGCGATACGCTGATCAAAAACCGGTATTTTGACTTGCATTCGGAAAACTTCGTAACACTCGGAAATCTTCGGATATTTCCGTGTTTCATTTGTGCCAAATATTATTTACATTTTATTTTGTCATGATTAAAGGCTGTTGTTAAAGCTTAATCAAGCATTGTTATTTTGTTGTGTTTTGCTTTATAAATCAAGCATTAACTCGATTATAAGTAGTTTTATGTTTAACAATACTTCTTGCAATATATTGCAATACATATCGCAATATATGCTTTCGCATCGCATCGCAATATGAAAATTCTCTGCAATACCCACCCCTAATCAAAAGTACAGACATTACTGAACTTTTACACTTTTAAAGCTATTTTCATCGTCATCATTTTCATAGCGTAATCAGGAGTCGTAATAGAGCTTAATAATAACATCTATGTCATAACTTCTGTCAAAACCACAGATTCAAGTAGAACATTTAGGAACTATGTAGCGGACTCTCTGATCAGATCCAAGTATGTACATTCTGCAACTGACAATGGTTCAGGTGGCCAAGACTGCATACACTGAAACATTGCTATTTCAGTTTCCGTGACTCAAAGGAGTAATTGGGCGTCACCTTAATGTATTCATGTTGTAGTCTCAAGCACAGACTAGAGAGTGCACAGAACTCCCATATGGTGTTGCATGCATACCAGATTCTGAACAGAGGAATGAATCGAATATGTATGAAGAATATTTCACGTTAGATGGATAACAGCGCATAGAATCATCCACTTGTGGTCCATAGAAATAACGATAAGCACGTCAAGCTAACTACAGTTCATGTTTATCAAGACATCGGATTTGCTTTACTCCTTCATAAATTCATCATTATATTCATATCGATGCTGATGCCAAGACCATGTCATATTTCAAAGATTGTCTGGACTGTATAACTTATAGTAACTATGGCTGAGGCTCACACCTGATGATACAGATTGTTCTGATATATACGTGCAATTGGTTGTCCCAAACAGTTGGATCTCCTTGTAGCTTCATACTACCACGTTTTGTACACAAACATTGTATTGGGTATTACGGGCGTAAAACAGGGACTGACAGCCAATATGTGAGTGGAGTATCCTTGGAAATCTGCGGCATGGTATGTGAGGGGGCT